CCACAGCCCTCCTTGGGCATCATTTGCCAGTTTCCATACCTCTTTCAGGCCACATCTCTCTGTAAGCCTCAGACACACATTAACAACTTCTTCCTGAATGTCCTCACTGTATGTTAGCCACTCAATTCCAGCATGATCAAAACTGATCTCCTCACTTTGTATCTTCCAGCCTCAAAAGTGCTCCTCCTGGTTTTGCTTTCTTTACAATTTTCCCTGCAGGTTACCTTGAAATTTAAAGGCCATTCTTAAATCCTTTTTCTTAATCTTGTCCCTTTCAGCCAATTGACAACCTCATCTTACCTGTCCTACCTTCATAATATTGTTCTCTTGGGTCTTCTCATTTACATCACCACTTGCAGGCTTTCTCCAGGTTTACTTAATGGTACCATCATCCGCTTCCTGTTCATCTTTGCCCCGCCCCCCAGTATTCCCTCTTGTGCATGCTCTGTGGTTGACAAGGTAATGAAATTCCTAAAACAAAAATTTCAAAGTATCTTCTCCTTGTTTGTAAACCTATGCTGGCTCTCTGATACTTTCCACGTAAAGGTTTGAATTCCTTTCTTTTATTAGGTTTCTTATAACAATCCCTGTCTGACTCTTCATATCAGTCATACTGAGATAACTCCTTGTTCTTTGAAAGAAACAATCTCTTGAGCCTCTGCACATTTTGATTCTTTGCCTGGAATATTATTTTCCCCTGCTCTCCTTACCCAGAAGCTTCACTTGGCTCCAATTTTTTCTTCAAAAGATGGCTCAAAAGTCCAGAAAGTGTCTCCTGCCCCATATCCTCCTATAGCCCTTTATCACACTTCTATACACTTACAACTTTTCTACTGTACAGAAAAAAATTTAAAGGCAGCATTGGTATCTTGTTCCTATTTGCATGTTCAGTGCCTGACACTTAATAGATGCTACTAGGCGTCTCAGTTAAACCAATGAAAAATTCAAATTCAGGTGTGGCAATCAGCCTCCAAAATGGCCTGCAAGGATCCCCACCTCCTGGTATTTATGCCCTCAGGTGGTATCCTCCCATGTTGCACCATGGGTGGTGGGTGGCTGTACATGCTGCCATGTTGTGATTAGATCTACAGAGATGTCTAATCTGACAAGTGCCTTCAGGAAGCCCAGAGCCAATGGCTAGTAAGGCCCTGAGGCTATCTGAGAGAGCTTGGGAATAGAATTTCCAGTTTCAGCTAAGTCTTCAGGGGCTGTAGCCCTGGCCAACAGCTTGAATGCATGTGTGTTAAGCTGTGAAGAATTTGGAGCCACAACAACCCCAGCTTAGCTGCTTCCAGGTTTCTGATGCTTAGAAACTATGTGAGATTATAAACATGTGTTATTTTAAGTTGCTATAGCTATATTTTGAGGCAATTTGTTACACAGCACTAGATAACTAATACACCTGGCAACATGAAGTACGTGCTTTACCATTTCCAGGGCACCTCGGATAACCCCACAGAGTAAATTGCAGTAGCACAAAGAAGATCGCCCAGCAGGGAGCTCTTCCACAAAGTCCACCAGAGGATTCTTGTCTAGAATCAGGGAAAACTCATTTCTGCTTGCATTATTACAGGTGACACTTGGCGTAATTCCCAAGTACATCTTGAAAGCGACCTAATAAAGAGAAAAATAAATTATTGCCACCTGGTCTAGTACAGATATGTATTAGGACAACCAAATACCTGATTATAAGTGTTATAGCACAAGGGTTAAGCATAGGACATTTGGGCTCAACTTAGTTTTGCAATTTTTTGACTCTATGCCATGTGAAAATGTAAAATCCTTTTGTTTTATGGAACATCCTAAGGGACAAGTTTCCGTGAAAATAATATAGATTTATTTTCAATAATGTTTTTTTTTAAAATATGTATATCCTCTAGGAGGGTAAGAAACTAAAATATTATTCATTGTAAACATATTTACATGGTATTTGGCACACTGATCATAGAAAATGATAGGATCTTGAATTAGAAGGTATCTAGAACATATCTGCCATAATAGGAAGGTCATGGTCAGAGCAACAGTTGCCGAGGGCAGATTAAAGCCAAGGGTGTATTTGGGGATGGAGAGGAAATTATATTACTGTAGATAACAAGTCTCTGAGAAGAAGAAAGGGATAGTGGTGGGATGAGAAAAGCATAAATGAGTGACAAAGTTATTCTCAAAGTTGTGTATACGTTACTGTATAACCAATGTGATTCTGCAACCTGTACATCCAGAAATATGAGAAATTATACCCCATTTGATTCAAATATATGATATGTCAGGATCATTGTACTGTCATGTATAACTCATAAAAATAAATAAATAAATAAATAAAACTGTTCCTAGCACATGAAGAATTTTATAATATAAAAATGGAAGAAATTTTAGAGACTATTTCTTTTAAACCCCTAGTTTCACAAATGAGTAAACTGGAGAGAAGTAAAACAACACACAAAGACCTCAGTATAACTTAATTGTTTGATTCCTAGTCCAGGGCAATTTCTTTTCACAAAACACATAGGCCTTGGTTCTAAAGTTTATTAATGGAAATTTATTAGTTTGATGTGTTGTCATTTTTCAAATGATTTGACTTTATTTATTTATATTAAATATATAAGCTAAATTTTCCAAATCACTGACTTTGATTTTTAAATCTAGAGCAGTGTAGAGAAAAGAAATAGAAATTATTTTCTTAAATTATTTCTAATTTGAAGTACTAAGAAGTTTATTCATTCAATAGGTACTTATTGAGCACAGCCAGTCTAGCACAGTGCCTGGCACACAGTTGGAGTTCAATAGCCATTTTCAAAATAAATTATTGGATGAGCATCTGATCTAAGTTTGACACCATATTTAGAACTGGAATATAGGAGTATAAGTGAGTTTTTGTCAGGCAAATGAGGTGGGGTGGGGACAAGGGCCACTCTATTATACTCTAGGTAGCAGGAACATGTTCTGGCATGAGGTATCATAATGAGGTTCAAGGGAGGTCTGTATCTCTCAGTCTGTGGGCAGTGGGATCCCTAAAGATGTGAAAAGGCTATGCAGCATTGGATTTCTATTTTAGAGGGATCTCTTTCACGTCAGTATGTAGGATGGATTTAGGGTTATGGTTGGGATGGGCATAAAGTCAAAAGGAGAGATACTAATCTAGAGGTTACCATGATGACTTAGGAAAGAAGTGATGATCAGCTGGGTTTGATGGCACATGCCTGTAATCCTAGCAGCTCAGAAGACTGAGGCAGGAGGACTGAAGTTCAAAGACAGCCTCAGCAAAAACAAGGCACCAAGCAACTCAGTGAGACCCTGTCTCCAAATAAAATATAAAATAGGGCTGGGGATATGGCTCAGTGGTTGAGTGCCCCTGAACTTCGATAACCAATACCTCCTCCCCCCAAGAAAAGTGATGATGAAGACCCTTCTTGTTTTGTTTTTTCTTTAAAACTTAAACTCTCCCTAAGCATTTCCATATAAGTT